GAAAGGGGTACAGGAGCAGGACGCGAAAACCCGGGACAGGCTGTGGCAGGCCCGACGTCTTTCAGGCCCAGCTCCTAGCGTCCACGCCCCTCCTTCCAAGACGTTTCCCAGCAGGCGCTGCGCCCAGTTTGGATCAAGTGAGCCGCCTGAGATTGCCAAGCGTCCGGTGCGCATCTCATTAACGCATCTGCTTATTCATGTATTTATTCTTTGTGGGGGGAGGGGATGGAAGGAACGGCGTCTCACTCATTCTGTGGCTCAGGCTGGAGTGCGGGTGGCTCGATCTCGGCTCGCTGCAACCTCCGCCTCCCAGATTCAAGTGATTCTTGTGCCTCAGCCTCCCAAGTAGTTGGGATTACAGGTGCACGCCACCACGCCCGGGTAATTTTTGTATTTTTGGTAGAGACGGCGTTTCACCATGTTGGTCAGGCTGGTCTTGAACCCCTGACCCCCGGTGATCCATCCACCTTGGCCTCCCAAAGTGTAAGGATTACAGGCGTGAGCCACGGCGCCCGGCCTTATGCATTTATTCTTATTGAGCACCTAACATGCTGTAAGCATCAGGGGCAAAAAAGTAAATGAGACATAACAGCACTTAACACACAGCATTTATTTGCACGGGTGTTGGCTTTCTAGCCCTCCAGCAACTGCTTCTGGGTAGGGGCCCTCTTTCGTTTTTGCGTCCTCCGAGTCTAGCACAGTGCCTGGCACGGACTAGGTGATTTGTTAACAAAGGAACAACTTTAAAACGTGTTTTTGATAGGGAGCTCGGTTCTCAAACCTGTAGCCCTAAGTCGGGGTAGGGGAGGCGGGAGAATGGGGTGGACAGACAGACACAAGGAGAATGGGAAACGTGTTTGTATTAGGAGTGCTCACAGCAATCCACAGCTTCCCTGTGTTCCTCGTTCTCAAATAATAGTAGGGGAGTCGAGGGCGGGGTGGGGCAGCCCTCCCCGCGCGCAGGAGGGCTGGGTTTGGGAGCCTCAGCCGGGGGTTCTCACTGAGCTCCGGAGCCCGCCTGCCCACCTGCGCCGCTCACCAGGTCAATGGCCACGACGTCCCGCAGAGCCACTACCCGCCGGATGGACTTGGGCGGGTTCTCGGTTAGGTAGATGAGCCGGTCGCTCAGCACCACGTACTTGAGGGTGTGGTTCTCCGAGTTGGACACCACGATGCATGGCTCATAGGCGCGGACCGCGTCGTAGACCTCGGGCGGCAGATGCCGCCGCAGGAACACATCCAGGCGGCTGTTCGTGCGAGCGGGGAAGCCGGACTGCAAGGGGCAGGCCATGCGCGGCGCCCGCAGCGGGGCGGAGTGCTGGGACTCGAGGCCCTCAGCTCGCCCTCTGTCCCCTCCCCCGCGCTGGAACCCGCGCGCCACAAAGCCGCCGGCCCCGCGTCGCCTCCTCTCCCAGGCGTGGGGACCCAGGCCGCAACTGTAGGAATCGACGCCAGGTCGGCTTCCCTGGAGCGCCCTCCCCAGCCCTATCCAGCCTCCCGATCTTTGTCCTAACCTCAGACGGCGATCGGCGGGGCACGACGCTGGTCCTTTAGGCCCGGGTTGATGGGCACCTCTGGCTAAACACCATGAAGTCCCCTGCCACCGAAGGGCGGTGGATTTTTAGGGTCTCTCCCGCCCGCCCCTCATGCCAGCCCCCACCACTGCCTACTCTGTTGCGGATCACACCATCCCATACAAACTTTATTGGTAATGGAAGCCAGTTTCAATCTGGTTTCCTGTCAGAAACTTGAGTTTAATTTACCGATTTATTTTTAACCCTAGAAACCCTAGAAACCTATTATTACCAATCACACAGATTTAGCTTTTGGTTAAGACATGGCTTGGCACAGCTTTCTGATGTTGTTGGAGTGTAAACATAGGTCTTCTTTCTCCAACCAGTGAGAAAGGTTTTTTTTTTTTTTTTTTTTTTTTGACGGAGTTTTGCTCTGTTGCCCAGGCTGGAGTGCAATGGCGCGATCTCGGCTCACCACAACCTCCGCCTCCCGGGTTCAAGTGATTCGCCTACCTCAGCCTCCCGAGTAGCTGGAATTACAGGCATGCGCCACCATGCCCAGCTAATTTTATATATTTTAGTAGAGACGGGGTTTCTCCATGTTGGTCAGGCTGGTCTCCAACACTTGACCTCAGGTGATCCGCCCGCCTTGGCCTCCCAAAGTGCTGGGATTACAGGCCTAAGAGACCTTGCCCAGCCTTTGAGAAAGGGATTCTTAACATGAATTGATGTGAGCACACCCAAACCTACCTAAGGAATATGGTTTTGTTTCCAATGCCCAGGGCAATCTATGCAGAAGAATGAATGGGTGAAGCTGGCATCTTGAAAAGTTGAAGCTGATAGACTGAAGAATGCTGATTACATAGCCCTGAGGCTGCAGAGAAGTAAGTATTCCTTAGTTTTTACAGGCCAAGAATAATTTATTAATTAGGTTAGAGAGATGAGAAGGGCACAACAGAAATGCTCTAGGTCAGAAGTTCCATTTTTTATTTCGAATCCTAGAAAAGTTATTCTCTTCCCCTCCCCACTGCCCCAAAAACCTGATAATGAAACCATATCATTCACTGCTGTGGCTGCCAGCAACCCTGAATCAAATTTGATATTCTTTATATTCTCCCTTTCTACATATTTTACTATTGTACACTGTATGTTATAAGCAACTTCAAATCCCTTGTGGAAAGAAGGTATAAATATATTACAATCTGGCTGGGTGCGGTGGCTCACACCTGTAATCCCAGCACTTTGGGAGGCCAAGGCGGGCGGATCACAAGGTCAGGAGATCGAGACCATCCTGGTGAACACAGTGAAACCCCGGCTCTACTAAAAATACAAAAAATTAGCCGGGCGTGGTGGTGGGCGCCTGTAGTCCCAGCTACTCGGGAGGCTGAGGCAGGAGA